CTGAAGCCCGGGCCTGGGCCGGCCGCCGCGCGCTGTGGTCGAGGGGCGCTCGCTTGGCCCCAGGCCGGAGCGGGAGGGCAGAGCGCACACCAAACCGTAGAGCCGCCGGGGACCGGAACGAGGGCGAGAGCCGAGAGCCCGAGGAGGACTGGAAATGTCCTGTCTGTGCCGCCTCCTGCTCAGATACCTGTTCCCGGCCCTCCTGCTTCACGGTGAGTTCTAGGGGTTGGGGGGCGCGAAGCGCTGAGCGCTCGGAGCCGCAGGGAGGGAGTGCGCGACCCTCGGGAGCCGGATCGGGATCGCTGCAGTCTACACTGTCCGCTGAGCCCGCGGGTCCGAGAAGAACCCTGCGCCCGCCTGCTCCCTGTGGGGAGAACGGCTCGGAGCCCCTTTGCCTCCGAGGCACCCAGAGCTGTTTTGGCGCTGGTAAGTGCTTTCTGGGAGGGCTCAGACCTCTCACACATCTTTTATCTCCCAAATCCACGGCATCATGTCCTGGGGAAAACTTACTCTGTTTTCCAATTGTAGACGGACGTGAAGTCGCAGGCGTTGTGACCCTGCGTCCACGGTGTCAGAGCGCAGGGGGAGCTCTTGGTGTGCGCCAAGTTTTACTAGCCTGTAAAGAGAAACTGATCATTTGGGGGAAGAAACATCTCGGGGTGGGTGTCTGCAGTCTGCGGACCACTGTTTGCGGTATGCATGAACTTAGACTCCTCATGGAAGCCGTAGCGTTGGGTTCACTCCCAAGCGGCTTGATCAGCTCTCAGGGTGCAGAATGGGGACTCCTAGTAGCTAAGATGTGATCATTAAAACCAGTTTCAACCAGTCTCGGAAGATCCACCGAACTTGAAGCCTTCCCTGATGCTTTTGCTTCACCTTGATCATTTTTTTCTGTGCTTCACGTACCACATTTTCTTAAAGGCTGTAGTAAACCTTTAGCCATAGAACATCAGAGCTGTAAAAGGGTTCCAAAAACTTCACGGAGAAAAGTAAGGCAGACTTGCATTGGAGAGGACAAGGCTGGTTTTGTGGCAGGTGGGTACTGGTAATCACGACAGGCCATGGCAGCACACACTGCTGATTCAGGTGTCTTGAGCAAACTGCCCCCAATGGTCAGACACCTGACATTTCACAGTGACCTCATGGCTCTCCTTCCTAAACACCCACCACCGGCACCCCAAACCTGCAGCTGGCTTTAGCTGCAATGCATCACAGCCAGGACTGGAAACCAGGTTGTGGACCCCTCAGAGGATCAAGAAAAGAGAAGAGCTGTTAACCCACAAACTTCTGCCTGCTGTTTTCTTTGTAGTCCTGCCCAGGGTGGGCTGCTCACATAGCTCCACAGGCCTTGTGAACTGCGTTTGGTTGGGCCAGACCTGCCTGGTTGCCAAGGTGTACTCTGAGCCTCAGTGATCCCAGAAGTTTAAAAGTCAGGATGGAAGGCTTGCAGTTGGAGGGCGAAAGAGAGAAGGTATAATTATAGGGTTGGACTCCCAGGCCCATCTGCTTAGAATTACAGAGCAGTTTTAATCTTTGGCTGAAACATGAAACAAATCAGAGCCAATGAACAGATCAAACAGCAGCTGCCACACACACAAGAAAAAAAAAGAAAAGAAAGAGATGAAACGGAAAATTGTCCTCTTTAAAAAAATTGTTACTATCTGGGAAGGTAAAGAGTATGGTCTGATGACATTAAAATAAAAAATTATTTGAAAATTTGGCAGAAGCAATTTATTTTTCTGTAAAATTTGTGCCTTTTGAACTACAGAAAAATGACCCTCAGAGATGGGCCGTGGTCTAGCTCTATTTTCTCCCTCTTTTGAGAGGTGAGTTTACCTACCAGTCCCCACTGGGAGAGTGATAAATAGCTGGGAACAGAGTCCAGGTATATCCTCAGTGAGGGTCTAGTGTAGCCAGAAATCTCCCAACTTTGAATCTGGAGTCTGGGAGTGACCCAGTGGTGCCGGGAAGGAGACAGGATGGACGGGGGAGAAATGGAAGGGGCAGTCTGAATTATACCAGCCAGACTGCATTTGTGTATATGAACATGTGAGATTGAAAGATTTGCAAAGTTTGATTGGATGACATGGATAAAACTACCACAAGTTATCTAATTTCAAAATAAATCTGCAATGGCAAACTTGCTAAAATGAAAGTACCCTACATGATTACTTAGATCCAGTGGCCAGTGTTGAACTTCAGGGTAGAGAATAAATAGAGGACATATAGCTAAATTCTCAGGATTTAAGCAAAGTTTGTTGTAACTAGTAAAGATAATGTAAAGCACCAGAAAAGAAGTGGATATTCTCCCTTTCTCATTTCCCCACCTGAATTTTACATGATTGAATTAAACAGAAAGTGACTATTAATCACCCTTACCCAAGAGCATGGTTTGGTGAATATGTCCTTAACGGACAGGGGTTTTGCAGGCATTTAAAAATTTGGCGGTAACTCATGCAGCTGAATCATAAATATAAGTAGAAGTTTTAAGTCTGAAGGAAATTTCCTGAAATCTTAGAATGGCTGAAGAATTTCTTACTGATAAGTTAGCATTTTATTTTGCTAACCATATGATACCAATTGTCCATTTATGGTTGCTACGTTGTAGGTGAAAGCATACAAGGGGACTTCAGAGTTTTTGGAAAAATGGAACTCAAGTACAAGTTTATTTTGGTGCAAAAAGTTTTGGAAATGGATGCATAGTTTTTTCACAGTATTCATTTTGCATGAACTTTTTGAAGACTCCCCCATATGTTCTGTGATTATGAATGAACTTGTGGAAAACTTGAATGCATTTCATTTCAGACATCATTTATAGATGAGCTGTTACACCAAGAAATCAGATCAGTAAGATTTTACAGTTCCAAGGCCTTCACGAAGATTCTGCGTGAGGATGCTGCAGATGCCATTATGTTTGGCATCTAGTCCCTGTTCACATTTTTTACTATTTCTATTTCAATTCATTGCAAATCATAAGTCACCCGTAAATCCTATTGGTGAGTAAATTAGGATCTGGCAAGACTTGAATCTGTTGTTTATTTTTGCTGTTTTTCAAAACTGTAATTGTAGTGCAAAGGCCCAAAGTTCAAAATGTGATGGCATAAAAGTATACACGTCAGTTTTACTTCCCTCCCCTTTGAATTCTGAAAACAATTGCATTTGTTAATCCAAATAAAACCTATTGAATGTCATGAAGGTATGCAGCTGGAAGATGTCCATTATCACTGTTTTCTTTGCTCAGATGAAAAGCCACAAACGTTTCAGATGTCAAATTCTGAAAATCATTCAGCTCCAGAAACACATTAGCAGGCGATATCCAGAATAAGTGGGGCTTTAACACATAGCAAGGTGCTAACTCTGTTTGCTAATGGAAATGTTTGATTTTATGTTTTGGAGCTGATGTTGGGAGAGATGTTCTGTTCCCAAATTCTGTTTATTTTTATGGTATTCATTGACTTTTTTTAAGAAGAGAAGACTCTTTCAGCTTTTCCCTTTGATTCAGGCTTATTGTGTCAAAACTTTTAAAAACTGTAGATTACCAAATGAGAACTTAGCCAACAAATGTGAGGAAACATTTAAATAGGGTAAAATAGAAATCTTTGAAATACTATCTTATTTAAGACAGGTTATGTACCCAAAAAAAAGCATTGTCTTCCTGCACCGTTTCCCCCCTCTTAGTCATAAAAAGAAAATTAAATCTTGAAAAGAAACATGAGTCACCCGTATGCACAGGGGACAAGGGTTTTTGACAGATGTTAAATATTCTGTTAAGTAAATGACTTGCTTCAGACATGTGGCTAAGGAGTTCTATATAATAGCCATGTCCATTCTTTTTCTCCTTAAATAAGAAGAGAACTAACTATATGTGGGTGATATAACTGTAATTACATGCTGTTTAGGGACAGACCGATGACAACTTGATATAATTAATCAAAGTGAAACGTAAAACATTTCAGACTAAAAATAGAAGCTGGTATGTTAGTGGTTGCATACCTTGCCTGAAAGCATGTGTAGCAGAACATGTATTCAATATCCTACCCATGGAGTTGAAACGATTATGAGGAAACTTTAAGACAGAGCTCTGCCACCATTGTCCAAATGTGCCTTGTTACCGGGAAGCTAGACCCATGGCCTACCCTTTAAGGGATCTGGCTCTCACATGACTCTTGCATCCCAGCCTCCCAACCCCAGTGGCTTGAAAAACATGTTAGGCACACATGTGCACACACCCAACACCTCAACAGGATGGAGAAATAGAGAGGGGATTGTGGTGAGACCACGCTTTATTGGGGAATGATTTCTCCCCTTCTCTCTTGTTCCTTTAGCTTTCTCTTTCCGGTGAGCACTCATGACCTCTGACAACTTAAATCAAACAAACAAACAAAAAATTCTTCCATGTCAGGATTTTACATTTACAAGGCTCATTGTTTAGTTCTCTCCAATTTGGGAATAAAATTATTCTTGAAAGTCATGTGTTAGGTATCTAGATTAGAGAAAAAATGTGGTGTCACCAATTAGCTGAGAGGATTCTGTTTTATGGTGGTTTTCCAGTTTCATGTATTCAACATTTCCTGTGTAAGGTCCTACTATGGGCTAAGTACCACTGCTTACTAGGGACAGGGGCTAAAGAGGAGTGTTCCTCCTTTCCTGAGGATTCCAGAAGAATATGTGGGAGTGGGAAAGAAATGCTGATTGTAGAGCCCCCGGGCTGGGAGGATAGTGAAGGGTGGTTGTCTACACTATTTTTCTGTTTTTTTTCTCTCTTTCTCTATCTCTGTCTCTCTTTCACACACACACACACACACACACACACACACACACACACGACTGTGCTGAAGGGGGTGACTGGGGCAACATCTTTCAGATGTAGACCCAAAATACAAACTTCACAATCTCAGGTTCAACCACATCTATCCCCGGTGGACCATGGCATTAGAAGATGACGTAAAATAATAACTTTGCCCAGCCTCAGTTGCTCACACTGCTGAGAAACTGTGCTCTATAGGCCAGAACCACATGGCAGGCCCAGGTTTGATTCCTGGTCCAACCAAAGCACCAGGTACAATGGTGTGGACCTGTAATCTCTGCAACTTGGGGGAGGCTGAAGCAGGAGGAATGTGAGGTAGAGGCTTGCCTGAGCAACATAAGGAGACCCTGTCTGAAAAAGAAATGAACTGTTGTCCCTACTGGGGGCTGAGGTAGGAGCATCATA